TTAGGCTGGAAAAGACTTGTAAGATCATCTAGTTAAACCATTCAAGCACTGCTAAGTCCACCAGTAAACAATGTCCCTAAGTGCCATATCTACATATCTTTTAAATACCTTCAGGTGTGGTGACTCCACCACTTCTGTGGGCAGCCCGTTCCAGTGCTTGACAACCTCTTCCATGAAGAAATATTTTCTAATATCCAATCTAAACCCTTGCTGGTGCAACTTGAGGCCATTTCGCCTTATCCTATTGCTTGTTACTCATGAGTAGAGACTGACCCTCATCTGTCTACAACCTCTTTTCAGGTAATTGTACAGAGTGATAAGGTCTCCCTAAGCCTTCCTTTCTCCAGGTTGAACACCCCCAGCTCCCTCAGCTGATCCTGGTCAGATCCATGCTTTAGAGCTTTCTCTAGCTTCATTGCTCTTCTTTGGACATCCATATAGACCATGTCACACTTTTTTACACTGTTGCAGCAAGCACATTGTGGCCGAACCCAATAACATCTGTGGGTTCTGCCTAGCAAAGTACATGTCACTCCAGCCACAAAGGTGAAACGTACTCAGCACACTGCTAATAAGGGTTTATTGCCTATAACCCACCCCCCTGGCAAAAGACACTTAAAAGACTTCATAACTGTGTGCTATCTATTCACACAAGTGCTGCAATCACTGTATCACTGTATATGTTGTCTTAAACTGTCATTGGTTTCAAAATGCTGATTACTGAAGAGTGAGTTTATATACAGTATAAAACTAGATTAATAAAACTTTGATTCTCATTCTAACTTACCACATTTGGGTGTTTTTTAAAGTAGTTAAAAGACAAAAGGCCCTGCTCTCTTGTCTTTTATGCTAGATTTGCAACAGTGTGAATTATTTATGAAAATGTAAAAAATATATCCAGAAATTGAAATAAAAGAGAAAGACTTGATCATGAATTAATACTTTTTACTGATAAAATAAACTGAGAGAAAGACTTTGCTGCCAATTAAATTTTGTAGTTTTACAATAGGAATTTTTATTTCTGAAATACAGACTACCACGGTCAATTGAAAGATTCCCAGTAATTTCAGTAGAATCATAGAATAGAATAATGGGATCACTTAGGTTGGAAAGGATCTTTAAGACAGAGTCCAGCCATAAAGCTAATCCTGCCAAGTCCACCAAGCAGGTGCAAAGCAAACTTTCTGTAAGATGCCTCATTATATCAATACCTGTCACTCCTGTGCTCCTTCACAGAAAGGTCTCGGTCAGATATGACAGGCAATAAATTTAGAATGGGATGAAGTAAGAATAAAGAAAGATTTACTTTCCTTGTTTGTCATTCAAGACTATATTTAAGTGCTTTAAAAAAAAGGACTTGTCAGGTGTAATAGATCTTTAGGAATTTCAATGCAGATAAATTATAAGAATATCTGTAGGACAACATTGCTGTGATATACAAGCTATGTATTTAAAATACTGTGACTATGTAAGAAAATAGTTTATTCATCAAACGTAAAGAAATTGCTTGTTTAGGAGGTTTTAATGGCTTTTTAAAATTTCTTGATGAAACTACATTTGTACTTTTTTTTCCTGCATTATGGGAGGATGGAGACATATCAAGAAACTTTATTCTGCTAGTTCTATGCTTTAAATCAATCATACTTTTTTGTTGAAATAAAGTAAGTGGGAACTCATTTCAGCCCAATTATTCATATCCATACATGGTTTTAGAATGAGATCACCATTTCTAAACATTCTGCCTCTTTATTAAATACCTGTCATATTAATGAATTTTTAAGCCATAAATAATTAGGTGAAGCAAAAGGGTGAACAATTAGTAAACAACACATTGTTCATGGAATAAGTCCTGCTTTCTTTTCTTCCCCATGCTTCAGGGTGGCATTGGCTTCCTAAGTTTCAGCTTCAAAAAAAAGGCAAAAATTCAAGACCTGACTTCCAGCCTCACTTCATTTTGCAGGAACACTGTTACTTGAGTCCACCTTTTCTCAAAACTGGGCTCCAGTTCAAGTTTCTCGTAAATCCTGTAAAGCTTGCAGGCTGATCTCGAGTTGTAGATCACAGGTCTTCCCATGAATGCCACACTTTGCTGAGCTCCATTTTCCAGCCCTGGCTTCTCCTTCGCACCTCAACCAGCTTGTTTGGACCTCTGTATTTCTTCTCCATTCTGAAGCCACATGTAGACAACTTCTCTCTTTCTTCCCTGAATTTCACTTACAGCGTTCACTGTAGGATTAGTTTGCAGAGGGTCTTGTTATACAGTTTTAAATAACACAGTAGAATGGAAACTTTGAATATTGCCCTATTAAAACATAGAAGCATTTTCTCTAGCATCTTTTTCACTTTTCAGCTATTGTTCAGTGTATTAGTACTGAGGAAACAGTCACAATCCAGGCCTTACAGTACTAGGTACCCAGCCATGCATTGCACAGTTCCACAGTGTTATTGCTGTTGGAATCATTCACAGCTATAATTACTGCCCTAAGAAGCTCTATAAGCATCAGAAGTGTAGGTTTACAGAAAATTTTACTAATGATGAAAGAAACATTCCTGTGTAACCCTCTACTTCTCTATTTATTATTTTGCATTATCATTCTCTGATCTGGTCTCCTGTATGTTATATTGAAATGGTACATCTGAGTAAGGGTGGTCTAGCTTATTCTCACCTCCTGAAACAATTCTCCATATGTGTCTGCATAGTCATTTGCACCCCTTCTTGCCCAGACCAACATGTGTTGGTTGCCCACTCTGGTGGGTTCTCTATCAGGAGAGCATCTGTTTCCCAGATCAGTGTCCCTGGATTGCTGAACAGGCCTCTGGGGGCCACACAGCTGAGAACTGAACATGAACACTTTCTACTGAGAAGAGATGAAATGGGCATATGCTTGATCCTTCAAGTAGGGAAGGAGCCAGGTGGGGCATTCCCTTTTATTCTGGAGGGGTGTTGGCAGAGTGGTAATTCTTCACTGTGTTGCCTACTGTGAGACTGTAGGTGTTTTGGGCCACAGCTAAGTGAAGGGCCTTGAGGGGAAGCTGTGTAAGGAGCAGCTGAGGTCACTTGGTCTGTTCAGCCTGGAGGAGACTGAAGGGAGACCTCATCACAGTTACAACTTCCTAGAGAGGAAAAGAGGAAGGGCAGACACTCTGTGGTGACCAGGGACAGGACCCAAGGGAATGGCCTGAAGTTGTGTCAGGGGAGGTTTAGGTTGGATATTAGAAAGACGTTCTTCTCACAGAGGGTAGTTAGGTGCTGGAAGAGGCTCCTCAGGGAAGTGGTCAAAGCACCAAACCTGACAAGAGTTCAAGAAGCATTTGAATGATACACTCAGCACATGCTGTGATACTTGGGGAGTGTCCTGTGCAGGGCCAGGAGTTGGACTCGATGATCCTTGTAGATCCCTTCCAACTCAGGATATTCTGTGATTCTGTGACACTGATAATACTAGTGTGGGAGCCCAAGAATAAGGAGATGCCTTAAATTACACTCTAAGAAGTAAATTTGTCCTGGTCTTGTGTGACCTGAACTAGTTCACATTTCCCCCTCTTTCCTCCATGCATGTCTCCAAACCTTTAATCCACTCCTTAACATTTTCTTTCTACCCTGGATCTCATCATGGTACATCCTGTATGAAGCAGAACTTTCATGTCACAGGCCCATGACTCTGCAGTTGCCTGTTGCACCCTGTGGGGAAGCAGAGGTGCTCAGGTGAGCAGTTACAGCTAAATATGCAAAGCGGTGCCACTTCGGGTGGCAAAACTATAAAGCCTATGGAGACCTACAAAAGCTGGGCTAGAGATACTCTTCAGACTGTTTGAGTCTACAGGCTGCAGAATCATTTTAGAAAATGCTATTTCGGACTTGCATCCAAACCCTGAATCCTACGTACCTACAGGTAGGTGGATAGGTGAAGACAACTGGGAGTTCTTCCCACCAGCTGCCAAATGCCAGCTCCAATCCAGAAACAATGTAGATGAGTGACTGCATGCTTTACAGATTGCAACTGAAATATCGTGCTGGCTTTGAGCCCGGGCAATGCGAACACTCAATTCTTCATTTGTGGATCTCAGCTTTGATCCTTTTGCCATCTTTAAAATGGAGACGAGCACTTCTCTGATTTACAGAAATTGTTGTGAGTTAATACATTCAAGATGATGTGACTCTTAAAACAAAGGATGTAAAACCAACATGAATGCTGGGTCTGCTCTTTCATTTTCACCTGTTGAACCAATTAAATATATTACAATATAAATACAGTGCCAGAATTAAATATAAATACGTAAGTATATAAAAAGAAATAAAACAAAAAAACCGTAACCAAATCGAAAAGAAAATAAAATTGGTCACTGAACTTTTAACTGCTTTATCAAATAAGCTAAGAATTATTTCCCTGGATTACTTTCTCCATTTGTACTGAGAATGTATAGTTGCCACAGAGACTGCTGTACGTGAACACGGGTAAAACAGAGGACGGGAGAGGGAATGTGTGCTCCTGGATTTCCAGAGGGATCTGAGATGACTATCTGGGTTAGCGATGCGGCGGGGCGGGGGCGCAGCCCGAGGACTCCAGGCCATGCGCCCCGGGGCCGGTCCCCGGAGGCTCCGGGGACCTGGCGGCGATGGGACGGGACCCCGCGGAGGGCGGGGGCGGCGGGGCCGGACCCGCGGGACCCAGCGGCGCTGCTCCCGCCGGCATTTATAGATACATCTATAAAACATCTATTTAAAGCAAAGCCCAGACTGGTGGCACACGGTCTGTGTGCGGCTGCTGCTGCTGCCGAGCCTGGCAGGAGGGGGCTGGAATTAAAATAAGGCACGAAGCGGTTTTAAAAATAGCGTGCGGGCTGCGCGGGGCGGGGCGGCGGCTCCGCGGCCCCGGGGGCGCCCGGCCCGGGGAGTTCCTCGGCGCCTTGTATGGAGCGCGGACGCTACAGGGCCCGGCGCCCGCCCCCGCTCCCCGCCCCGACTTTCCCCGCTGCCGGCAGGGAAGGCAGGAGCCGGCAGCAAGCTGCCCGTCTCCCAACTCTCTCCCCTTCTTCCCTCCTCTCCTTTCAGGAGCCGCCACCCCGCCTGCCTCTCTCCACCTCCTCCTCCTCTTTCTGCTCTGCAATCAGGGGAATAAATCAGGGACGGACGCTCACACACACACGCGGAGTAGGATCTGTTACAAAAGTAGCGCTGATGGCGGCGGATCAGACGAAGCTGGAGCTGCTGCTGGAGTAGCAGAGAGTGGAGTATCTTTCGCTCTCTCCCTTTTCTCTATTTCGTCTCGTTCCCCACTCCACCCACAGATCTCCATCGTTTCTCCTCCTCCTCCCCACCCTCGGCCGCGCTCTCGCTTCTCCGCGCATCTTTGGGCTGCGCCTCCTGCGAGGGGGCGGGTGGGGGGGGGAGCGGAGGAGGCTTTAAAGAACGACGGCCCCCCCGCACCGCCACACACACGATAATTGAATTTATTATTATTGCCGTCTCGCCGACTTGGGAAAGGGGGATCGATCTTCGATCAGGAAGATGGCTGCTGGCTGGCTGCTGGTCTTTAGCCTGACACTTTTCCAGTCCCTGGTGATGAACCACTCCTCGGAGGGACCGTTCCCCTCGGCCACCACGTAAGTCCCGCCGGGGTCCGGGGGTCCGGGGCGGGGGCGCTGCCGGGGTGGGGGCGCTCCTCGGCGCCGGGGACAGCGACAGTACAAAGGGAAATCAAGTTAGTCCGGGGGAAAGTGGCGGTGGGGAAAAATTGCAGGATTTCGGCAGCTTTTGCTTAGGAAAGAGTCAGGCTAGCGGAGGGTCCCGCCGGGGCCGTCGCCGCGAGGGGAGAAGCCCCGGTGACAGCCGGCGGCGGGACTTTTGAGGTAAAGGCTTCGCCTGGAAAGCCCGCTCCGGAGCGGCTCCCGGCTCCAAATATACCCCATCAGGTCATCCTTGCCGAGAAGAAAGTTTCGAGTTACAAAGAGTCCGCCCCTTCCTCCCACAGAGGTTATTCCAGCCTGGATGGAGATTTAACACTGTTTACAAAAGAAAACGAACAAAAACCAAACAAAACCCAAAACCAAACCAAAACAAAAAAAAACCACAACAAAACCACCAGGAAACTTTCGCAATTTTATTAAAATCCACGCAGAAAGGCGGATTTTGTTGCGGTTCCGCGGCCGGCACGTGAGATGGGCGGGCGGACAGGGCTGGGAGTTCCGAGCCCGAGCTCCGGCTCCCTCCTGCTTGGCCGCGCTCCAGTGCATCCACAGGGGCTCCCGGTGCCGCGGGGTCCGGGGGTGCACACGCGTGGGTCCCGCCGAAGGGTCTTTTTTTGCACGCTGAAAGCCACACAACTGAAGAACTATTCTCTTCAGGCTTGGCCTTGCAGATCGTTGTTTCTCAAAAATACCTTCGCGAGAGCTGAGGGATGCTCTCGGTGCACGCAGCTCAGTGCCTCGCCTGGCCCTGAGATGGAAATCTTTGAAGCACTGCAGAGTTATTAGCATGAAAGTGTTGCCCAGAGCAGTGCAAAGATCACATAATAATGATGCAATAAAAGAAAGGCAAAAAGAAGCCGATACATCATATTGGAGATTCGCCAGCATATCGGGAAAAAATCCACGACAAAGCACTGTGATCGTGTTTTCTTCCTTTTTCTTCTCTCTCACCTCATTATTTTTATATTCTTTTTGTTTGGTTGTTTTGAGATTTTTTTTTAAGCACTTACCTTAGTCCCCGAATCTGGGTTAAAGCTACCAGTAGGTAACTTGTAAGTGGATGACTCACTTTAATGCATTTTACATAAGAAAAACAGTGCTAATGGTAGTCTTCCCTTATCGTTTAACGCTGGGTAGAATTTATTACTGTCGTTCATCCTGGGCAGAAGGATGAGTTTACAACAATTATGAGCAATGCATTTTCACCAATTAGTACTGCTGGTAGGCTGTTATAATTGGATTCAGTTTTCAGTATCGGTTCCATTATGAAAGGCTCAAAGGGATGCTAGCACTGTTATATGAAAGAAAGGAATACAAAGATAAGTGTAGAATAACCACTTAATATCTTCTAAGCTGAATAAATACGGTCTTTTATTGTAGGGAAAATTATCTTTTAAAATATTTTCTTACTGTTCTTTTAAAATCTTCCAGTTTATAAAGATGTGCCATGTAGAAGCAAGAGTAGCCAAATACAAAGCCCAGGCTTTTTAAGTCATTGCTTTTCTTGTGTTTGACCTCCTCTATTTATAGTTTCTTATTGAGATGATAAGGTTATCATGCACAACTAATTACAAATTATCTTCTACATAGATTTTGCTGGGTTTAAATGAGAAGGAAATATATAACCCAGTGTATAAAAAGATTATGTATAATTTTAAATAAAAGTCTAGATAGCTTTTTAGGGTAAGATTACACGATATTTCCATTAAAATTATTTTGTCCCCTGTCCGTTTTTGCTAATTCCCTTCAGAATTTACCTTTACCGCCAGCAATGATAATAGAAATTGTCAGCAATGAAACATATAACTTTAATTGTAACTATAACTATGATAAAGTGATTCAGAGTATGATGTTAGTCATCAACGTTTTCATGCTCTACACAATCTACTTGCTGTTGGCTCTCTTTTTTTCTCATTATTATTCCACTGAAACATTGTAGAAATAATCTATAGTGCCTGTCCATCCTTCATAGTTATGTTTCCCCTTTGAAATGGAATCAAAGTGCAAGCAAGACTTAGTTCATTTACAAAGAAGCACAACAGGTTGATGCAGAGAGAGCTGCTTTGCAAAAAGTAATGATGTAACAGGTGAAAGAGAAAACAATTTTTTAATTCTTTTTTAAACCTTGACAGCAGTGTTTCATTTCCTACTATGGATTACAAATGGGAAAGAACAAAGAGAAATGACGCAAATGCTTTTAATGTGAAAGATATTATATATTAAGAATACTAAAAATAGGAAAAAACATGGGAGAACAGAATAAAGGAAAGAAAGGACATGAATAATTGAAGAACTGAAGGTTTGCTGATGATATGTACTTAGCTACCTACTTTCTCCCCATTATTTTCAGTCCTTTTTTTCTCTTAGTTAAAAAGTTGCTCTGAAGAAGCAGTATTTCCCAGCTGTTGGGTCAAAAATGTGCATATTCAGGGCCGTATAGTTCATGATTTCTTTAACAACTGCTTTTTGTACAATCACTTTTCCTTCAGTCATCTATTTCTTCTGCATCTATAAATATTTTAACATGTGCTTTTACTAAAACATTTAGAAGTATCACTAATACAGTAATATACAAGCATGAAACATTTGTAGCAAAAAATGCCAAATGTTTAAGTAATGCCTGTAGAATCTCAGTAATTTCACTGATTTTACTTCTCTGATAAGGCAGGAAGGCTCTGATATATTTACCCAGCAATATATAGAGAATTTCAGGTTTGTGCTGTATGAAACGGGAACCTTAATTTTTCATTGAAGATCTGAGCAGGTGGTATGATCACATTTGTTGTTTCTGGTGTTAGAATGTTTCACTGCAAATATTGAAGACTTTTCTTTAATGAACTATTTAAATATAGCAGTAATTATGTCTTGATCTTTAGCTATGAGGCTTAGCTAGCTGCTGAACGATGCATATTACGTATCATTAAAATGTATCATTTTCATTGTATCATGTATTAGGTATCTATCATATGCTGGTACAAGATACCATGTTCTTACTTTTAACATAGCAACTCCAACTCCTTCAATTATACATACAAGACATCACATATTTTGCACTTAGATGAGAATATTGTTGTCTATAGTAATCCTGTCACTTTAAGTACACTACTGGTATCACAGTACATAAAGTATTTCTTTCTTTGTATCTGTATATATTTATTTATCATCGCATCTATAAAGGCTTCAGAAAAAAACGCACCATTAAGTATATGTAGTTTGTATGTTTCCTGATAACGATAGCACAGGACTCAATTTATTTCTGTTCTTTTCTCTGTACTGCATCAAAACAGATAGTCTTGAGTTTAAATATATGTTGTAATTCTTAAGTATCCTTTTGGCACAACATGTCTTAGCAGTGTTGATATTGCTACTGATAGTGAGTAATGTACTATATAAAGATACACCTACTGCTTTCTGATAATAAATCTGTACATTAAAAAAACTAAACAGATATTTTAATTTTTATAAACTTACAGATGAAGTTTTTCAATATCAATTAGACTCTTTAACTACATCATTTTTTTTCTCTAATTTTCCTCTGCTACTTCTTTTCTCTTTTCCCTTATCTTTTAGCATTTTTTCATCCTCAGTCACCTGTTCTGTATGTATATATTAAATTATACATTATACTCAGGACAAATTTGCCACTTAGATAAATTGGTGTAAAATATTATGTGGATAATACAGAACATAAAAATAATATACATATGAACATATATCTGTATGTATACAGGCAAGACATTTTTAGAAAAGAAGTTGTGTATTCCCATTTTTCATTTGCATGAGTCATCCTTACTGTTTTGGTGTCATTAGGACAACTCAGGGAAGTCTGTATGAGTCATATGAATTAGAGCTTGCACAACTGGGACGTTCATATTTTTAGTTTCTTCACATGGACCTAACAAGTGTAGGTCCTGCTGAGATTGTGGCTGGGCTTGGAACGCAGCGTTGCTTTTGATACAGCATCGGTGACCAGAGATAGAGGGATGACGTTTATGATGTGTCCTTTTCATCTATTTCTACTGTCAGATTTAGGGATTTTGACACATCTCATATATATATAATCTCATTTTCAGCATAAAGTCTGTGATAGAAGAATGCCAGTTTTACTGCTGACGTTAATTAGAAAAGACTGGTGCATTAATGGACAGTAAAATATCAGGCTCTTTCTCATTTGAAAAATGTTTTTTTTTCCCAATCTATTTAGAAATCTTCATTATTAGGAAAAAAAATAATCTACTGAAGTGTACCTTCATATCAGTGAATTGGAAAGAGAGCCAAAAGACGTAATCTCCTTAGAATCAGAGAAGTGCAATATCACCTCTTAGTGTTTTCTCAGCAACACACATCTGAATGCTGAGCATTATGCAAGATGTACAAACCCATTGGTATTTTAAAGAGTGTTGCTCCAATCCATTCTTCTAGTAGAAACATACTTAGGTGTGAAACAGAAACAGCTTGTTGATTGGTGGTGGGGTTTTTGGTGTTTTTTGGGGGGCGTTGCTGGTGGTTTTTTTGGTTTGTTTGGTTTTGGTTTTTTTTTTTTCTTTTTTTTTTTGTATCTCTGTACATATTGTGGTAAGAAATGCACGCTGTTTGATCCCGCAAAACATTTTTCTGTTTTACATATTTTATGATGAAAATTGTGAATCAGTATTTTTTTTGTTTGTTTGTATCCCTCTTAGACATTTATGCTGAAGCCTCAGAATTAACAAATTCTATAGATTTACATTTCGTTCAGTAAAAAAATTCAGTTGAAAACATTAAAATAGATACTGATCATAAAAGGTGACATTTCATTGAAACAAATCAGCATTGTAGAGGTTCTTGCCATCTTTCGTTTTGCAGTGATGCTATTTTCAGAACTGCATTGCTCATACCCTGCAAAATGATTTTATCCAAGAATTCAGCTGCTAGAA